CACATTTAAATGTATATATATTCCAGAGATTCTTTTCCCTTTCTCACATCCCTACCTTTCCCGTAATCCTCTCAACAGACCTAATAAAAATGGCTGGCCAATAGGAAAAAGAATAGTCCTTTATTTTCTAGCAGCCAACTGAATACTGGGGAATGTGGATAGGAATCCTTGAACCTTTGAGCACTGAAATTCTGTGAAGGATGCTGCTTTTCAGGTGTTCATGGCACAGTTTAATAAGAAATGGGAGAATTCCACGCAGGAGCAAGAACTCTTATGTTCGTGTTTAATGGATGTGCACAATTTGTGCTGGACATTAATGCATTTGTGAAATCTGAAAAGGTTTGCAAAGGTGAAGGTGATGATTACTAAGGGGGGAACGTGATGGCTCAGCAGTTAAGATGCTGAGTTTGTCATCTGGAAAGCCTACAGCACGGGTTCAACATTTGAGCGCTGCATAACCGGGTGAGCGCCCGTTATTTGCCTCAGCTCATGCCAACCTAGCAGTTCAAAAATATGCAAATGTAAGTAGATAAAAAGGTACTGCTTTAGCAGGACGGTTACATCGTTCCACATTTTCATGCTGCTCACATGATGATGGAAACATCTCAGACAATGCAGGCTCCCTTAGCTAAGCATCGGAGTTGAACACCGCTCCCTAGAGTCAGGGGAAACCTTTAAATGGCAAAATATATTTCCTCAACCACGTTGGAACACTTGAGCACTTCCCATCTGATCAGGAAGGCATTTGAATGAAAAAATGTTAGGGAGTAAAGATTTATAGGGATTCCTATAAAAACATTGAGATCACAAACATGATTTAATTGTTTTCAAGAAAACCTTTGGTACAAATGAATATTAAAAAGAATATTTTAAAACAAAGATGCATTTTCTTGACTTGGGCTTTCTTTCTATTCTGACATTAAACCTAAGACCCTTCTCAGTGGGAAGGATTGGTTTCCAATGAAAGTTTCATCTCATATATTCAATTCATATTTTATTGAATGACAATTTTATTTCTGTCAACGGATGTTGCTATTCAAGGATATGGGTATAAAGAGGTAATCCTTCATGTAACCAAAATGGAATTTGATAGAAGGCTTTGTATTTTGAACATAGCTCTGCTAGATTTTTTCTTAATGGCCCTGAGGATTAACTTCTACTTCTTGCCATATATCTTGCAGAAAGCTATGTATTTCAGCAGATAGAATAAAGTTCAGTTCAAGACCTTATTTGACATTCACACAACCATAACTCTCCTTTCTGTAAAATTCTTGGTAAGTTTTCTGCTGATGCTGCATTGTGCTAGGCCAAGAAGGGGTTGGTGGGTAAGGGGAACCACTAAGCTTAACTCATGAGCATGTTCTCTCGGGTTTCATTCACCAACTGGACAAATAATTATACATTGCCAACAAAAGGATGAAGTTTTGCATAAAATATATGTGTGCTAATTTATAAGTGATACATCTTTTGAAAGAACAATTATAAGTGAAGCAAAAAACTACCCAGAGTTGCTATATTAGTGAGAGGGGGCATAGAAATTTAATATACATCTGACATTGTTGTAGGGGAACATTGTGACTAGGCTTTTTATGTGTTTGTTCAATCTGATCCCCATTGGATGATGAGCAATATTAAGGTTAGCTGATTTGCATCAGATCCTAAAACTGCAAAAAAAAAGTCATGCTGACACCTTGGAAAGATATTGTAGAGCTAAGAAAACCAATGAAAAGATCAACTGAAATAATCAAGGAACTGAGGTAATTCCCCTGTAAGTTTCTCCCCTTAAAACATATGGTATTAATATAATATGGTGGAAATAATCTCTTTAGGATTATTCTGACAGTTATCAATATTATATTTCCTTCACTGTAATGCTCACTTAATGAAGTTTTCTTTGAATAAAGATTTTGGCAGGATCAGTTTAAAGGCTATGAATGTAGTGTATCTTTTTCCATTTTTCACAAGAATGTTAAATGTGTACAAAAGTATGGCTTTAGAAATCCAAGTTAAAGTTGGGGACTTCTGGTTTGAGCTTCTTTGGCGACAGACTGAAACCTCGTCTCTCCGAGGCTTCGATCCATGCTCACAGTTAGAGCGCCCTGAACCAGCTGGTTTCAGGGCTAAGCCACCTCATAGAGGTGGTGAAGAGGGGGGAGACTGCCTGCAGGGTTGAGGAGAGCCACATCTCTCCTCCTCAGCTGGCCATTACTCCCTTTCCCGAAGGCGGTTGTAGCGGTGGTCAGAAATGGCCACCACAAAGAACTCGACCGGAAAAGAATGTGCAGGAGGAAGATAAGAGAAAGTTTTGGTTGACTGGGTAAAACAGCAAAAGCAACAAATAAGGTATCCTGGAATTTAAACTTAACATTGTTCCCAAAGAAGATTTTGAAGCTGAAAAGGAGAGAGAGAAGGGAAAGGATTAGGGTTTTTTTTTCTTCCCTTCCTTATACTGACAGCAAAGAGTCTTAAGCAAGAAACTGAAAAAAAAATCCACTTTGACATTAATAGGCATCTAAGCTGAAAATAAAAGTCAAAGGGATAAATAAAGATTTCTGGACATTTAAAAGTTTTTAAAAGCTGGAAAGGAGAAAAAAAAGAATAGAAGGGCAGGATCTGGAAAAATGGAGGAGACTGCCTGGAATTAAGGAATGGAACTGTAATTAAAAGGAATTTACAGTGAAATTTTAACAAGATTCCTCAAAGATACATTTTAATGGAAATTTGGTAACAAAATAATAGAACACCAGGAAGAGAAAGTGGAAAAAAGAAGCAAGTAAAAACAGCCTTGGATTATTTGGATTACTTGGTGATTTATGGTTTTTGCATCTAGATGACTAAAATTAACTGGGTGGTTGTTTAAAAGTTTTTAAAATGGTATCACTCTTAGAAGAACTGAAAATGGAACTTAAAAAATGGAAAGAAGATGCACAAGGAGGGAGAAGTTCTTTTGGCTTCATGTTTCAATTCTTAGAAATGGAGATCTGGAACTATGAGAAGCAACAAGAAATGCTTGCAGAACAAGAAGATTGGGACAAAGAAGAAGCCATCTTTAATGATCAAATAATTTTAAGTGGGAGGAAAAAAGAAAAGGGGGGAAAGAGAGTGAAAGGTTTAAGATTAGAAAAAACAACCAAAAAGAAGAACAACAATTTGAAAGATAAGTATAATATTAGAAAGCAACAGAAGAGGGGATTACAGATGAGAGTTAGAAGTAGAGAGACGAGGAGGTAAAAAGGGGAGGGAGAAGAAGAGGGGGAAGAAGGCAAGGAATAGAAGTTGTAAAAGACAGAAACAAGAAATGGAGAAACAGGGAAAAGATATAAGGATTGTAACCATAAGTTTGTTTAGAGATAATGGGTGAAAATTTAATTGTAAAAGGGATTCTGCAAAGGTACATAAGATAGCTTTGTTATATTACAAATAGAAATAACTTTAGAAAATATGATGATGGATGAAATATTTATTGTAATGCAGTGGGATATTTGTTAATAAATAAATGAATTAAAATGATTGAGAGAATTAAAAGGGAACTTTTTAAATTATTAGTAATGATTTATAAAAATATAAGTGAGAAATATGAAAAAAAAAATTAACTATGGAAAGTTTATAAGTGTTCCGAAGGAAGTATGATATTCAATTGAAAAGAAATGTTAAAGATGTTAAGATTTTAATGCATATTAATGATAGAATTCAATTGGAATGGAATGTGTTTTATTTACATATATATATATATATTTCTTTTTAAGAATATAGTGTCTATTTTAAGAATGTACCAAGCAGAATTTGATTGGAAGTTATGTGTTATATTGAATGCTATAATCGTAAAGCTATACATTGAAGCTTAAATAAGAGCTTGAATGGATAAAATTAAAGGATATAAAGGACGTACTCTAATTGGTAACTACAGGGAAAAAATTGTTTAATAAGAAAAGATAATGTGAAATTGTAACAGGACAGACAAAAGTATGAATATAATGATTTGAACTGAGATAATCAAAACAAAGTTGAGAAAATTAGAAGAGGGGGAAAAACTATATAGAAAATATAAAATGGTAATAAGATATGGAATAGAATATAAAAATGAGCATGAAATTGAGTTTTGTGTCTGTATGAAGAAGTGATAACCTGGGACCATGCTATTTTCAAAAGAGATGTTTTATTTGTATTTTGTTTTTGTGAAAACCCAATTTTTTTTAAAAAAAAAAGAAATCCAAGTTAAAGTTGTTGCTTTAGATATCTCTTTTCTTGCTTTTTTGTAACTCTTCACTTGTTCTACCCTTTTAGAATTGTTTCTATACTATTGATGTTTCTGTAGTTTTTTAAAAAATCTTTGTAAACTCTTTTAACTAAAATTATTATTTTAAAAAAATTAGCTTATCAACATTTATAGATTTGGGAATTAAGAATGTTTTCCAACCTGATTGTTTTTTTAACTTCATTTCTGTTTTAAAATTTGTTTTTCAGTTTTTCCTGTTATTACATGAACATACTATAATATACGATAACAGTATTTTAATGTTAATATAATGTTAACAATTAAGCACAAGGAATCCATTTGCAAATTGCTAATCAGTTTAATAAAATTGATTCCATACATTTAGCCCATCTATGCATGGGGGAAAATATTTTTCCACTTTTTTCTCAGTTGTTTCTGCCAATCTGTCTGGTTTTCTCCTCCAATTTCTATTTTTTAAAATTATTTGAATAAAATTTATATTTATTTTTAGTGAACTATTAGGATTTTTCCCTTTTTTAAAATTTCTGCAATAATTAGGGTTCTCCCATCCTCCCTGATGTCTTTTTAAAGGCTCTGTTTTGACTGCAATGCTAGCAGCAGTTATCAGCTAAGCATAGTGTGTTTTTATTATATGGAAATAGCTTAATTTTGTCAAACTGTAGACATCATCTCTCTACAAATGGAAATCATGTTTATCATGTTGTATTTATCTGTACAGCTAAATATTATTTGCTTTTTATATGTGTGTATATTTTTATTACAGTTTACTCTTCACAAAAATAAAACTGGAATTAGTACATAAAGGACCGGAAGAGGCTTTAGTGACCTGTAGACATATGTTGCATCAGTGGCAGATGTTGTATAATGTTTCACAGCAAAGGTAGGCTTTTCTTTAAATTGCAACTGGATTTTCTTTAAATGGAGATGCAGAAAGAGTTGTCTGGGTATGGGAGTTCATATGCCTGATGCAGTTTCATACCCAACATTTCATGAACAGCTGCAAAATGTGAGCCATATTGAATCAAGCCACTGCTTGCTAATCTAGCATTCTGTATAACACAGTGGTCAGCCAGAACATGCAAGGAGTTTACAAGCATGGACAGAGGGCAATGGTGTTTTACTATCACTCCTCAGTGTCTGATATGTAAGGAATGCTTTGATTCAGGAGACAATATTCATTAGGAACAGTAACCACTGATGAGTCTGTCATCCATGGAATTCTTTACTTAAAGTTGTATGATACAGATTGGCCTCCAGTCTAAACGTTGCAGAGGATTTCCTTTCACTGATCCTGAATCATTCCCCCTTTAGTTTCAATGGCTGAGTTTTAACAGTATGACAGGAGGAGACAAATTTCTCTCTATATACTGTATATATTTTCATAAGTTATTACATTTCTCCAAACCATCATTATTGTATTGACTTTTAAAGCACATTCAACCAATTTTGGGGATATATTGAAGGAGCTCTTCACATCCATCATCAATGTTTCTATTCTGAATGGTTGTGTGTCATCAACAGGCTTATGTATATTATCATTCATGTCTTGAGCAACTTAAAAAGTAGAAATCCCGGTACTTCAAGCAGTCTAGGCCAGTCTTTCTAGTAAGCTAGCATTTGTTTGTAATTGTGTGTGTGAAGTCCATCATATGAGACCAACACACCTTTAATCTGTAATATAGTTCCTGTAGGATACTGCTTCCATCAACAGCAATGCCATCATTGTGGAAATGGGTCAATATTGACTGTAACAAGGAATAGATTCCAGAAACCAGATCATCTTAGCAGCCTGAAATGCCTTCAAGAAACCAAACTGATTGTCTTCAGAGTAACTTTGCCACTAGCTTGCAACCCAATCACAGCTTCCTGAAGGGATGGAAATTATCTTGGTGACCACAACCTAATCAAGAAGAGGGACAGTTCCCTGTACCACCCATTCCTGGTTCATTTGTCAATCAGCATAATATCTGCTCAAAACCCAGGCCAGCTTGATTTAACATACCAAGGAACGGGAGCGGAATAAGTCCCACAGTTACTCAATAAAGAGCTGGACCTGCAGAAGAATAGCAGCTGGAAAGGAAGGGAGGGAGCACTCCATACCATTATCTAGCTGTCCTGATGACAAAAAGATTAGCATAGTCCATAAGTAATCCATACATGAAGCAGTCACAAGTGTGTCTGGTACAAGATTCTCAAAGACCTGAAGCTATCTCTACCACCAGATGATCAAAAAAGAATTTTTCCCAAAAGATTAAAAAAAAACATTCTTTTTAGTCAAACATATATGTGGGCCAACTGTCTAGGAGACATTATTATGGTTTATTAGCTTGTCTAAACATTTTCAAAGTTACCTTATAAGGCATTGATAATCACCTATAAAGCCCAAGATGGCATAGGCCAGGCTACTTGTGGCTACCATCTTTCTTTCATTGTTTCTGGTCACCCCACCAGTTTTAGTAGAGAGAACATGATCTGGGTCCCTTCTTTCAAACAATGCCACCTTGCTAGAGCTTAGAGTTGCACTTTCTCGGGAGCAGCACCTGCCCTACAGAACAGCATTCTCCTGGAGATTTGGATGGTCCCAGCCCCATTTCCTTTTTGTAAGGAAGAATTTATTATTGAAGATCTACCTGTTTCCTTAAGCATTTTGGTCAGGTGGATTGATGGCTCTGCTATTGTTCATGCACTCCACCCCGCCCCCTTGTAAGTGAGGTTATTGTTTATACTTGGGTACCTGGGATTATATATTGTAGGTATTTCTGCATTTTTAATTCTTGTAAGCCATGAAGGTTCACAAATGAAATGGGTAGCTATATAAATCATTTAAATAAGTAAATTCCTGAGTGAGAACAGCAATTCAGTATAAACATATTGTTCTTAAAGAATGTATGTTGTTATTGAATAGAGGTGGAAGAGGCTATTTGGACCATCAAGTGCAATACCATATTGCAGGAGTCCCCAAACTTGGCAACTTTAAGACTTGTGGACCAACTCCCAGAATTCCTCAGTCAGCATAGCTGGCTGAGGAATTCTGGGAGTTGAAGACCACAAGTCTTAAAGTTACCAGGTTTGGAGACCTCTGCCCTATTGCATGAAGGAATCCAAATTAAAGCCTCCTTATTGTCTAGCTTCCATTGCAATGCATCCAAGAAAGGACATCTGCCCCCTATCTGGATAGTTTATTCTACTGTTCAGCTGCTTTTTAAATAATGATTAATCAGAATCTACTTTCCTGCAATTTAAATCTATTATTCCATACTTAGAATGAGAAGAAAAATTAAAATTAAATTAAATTGTATGTCTGCACTTCACCCACTTACATACTTGTAAATCCTGGAGTGGATTTACAAGCATTTTAGTAGGTCTAGGATTCCTGCCTAAATCTAAATATAGGTACCTGAGTAAGAGACCTGAAATTTGTAGAAACCATTAAGCATCTATAAGCAAGCATTGAAAGACATGTCACTTTATATCAGTTGGAAATGAGAAGGAAGGCAATATCATATAACCAGCCAAGTCTCTAAGAACCAGACCTTGGGAAATAACCATCATGGTTACCGAGCCTTGCTTGTAGAATAGCAGGATCCCAGGGAGCATCCCCCCCCTCCCTCTTTCCCCCTCCCGTCCCACCCCTCCAGAGCAAAGACAGGACTGACTTCCCAATGCTGCTCCATTCCAGAGATAAATCTGAAAATTTAATGCAGGTTGCCCTTTAGAATTCATTATAGTTTTGCAGGATTGCAGATCAAGGCATATTCCGTGGAGAGCATAGATCCTTGCACAGTCGGCAGAGAGAGGGAGGGACGGAGGGAGGGAGGGAGAGAAAGAGAAGAAATCCCTTCTCTTTTACCCCTGGCTGTGCTATAGCTAGACAGAGATATCAGGACACTTACACAAGCCCATAGAACATCTTCAACATTTTTTTTCCTGACAAAATGCCACCAACTGGTATACTAGCAGAGCTTGCTTGTTCTCTTTCATTCATGTTGCTTGTTCATGTCAAAGAGTGATAAAATACAATACATCCACTTGAGACAAGGGTTTAATACCATACAATAATGACATTCTTAATTGATTATTTACTGATCTTGAGTAGCAGTGAATAAAAATGGAATACAGTATATATCAGCATTCACTCATGCCCTTGTGATGACAGTAGCTTTCCTTATGTGGGAGCTCTTCAGGGTTGATTATAGGGCTTGAAATTCAATACATTATTCATTGGTAGTATTAGTTGATTGATTTTATTTCTATACCTGGAGTGGTTCACAACAAGTGATAACAATAATTGTAAGTCAAACCATCCCAATAAATCACCCATGCTTAAAAATGATGAATACTAATACTAATTAAATTCAGTTTAATTCTAAAAGAACAGAAAACCAAAATACAGGCAATCTAATAGACCATCTGGTCCTAGAATCATGGTTATCTTACATATGCCTGGGTTAATAGGGATTTTTTTTTTTTTGAAAGAAGACAGATGGGGCAGGTTAACAAACTGGATTACAGTAATGTACTCAAACTTTATTTGTGTTGAATGTTACTGACGCACAGGCTTGAGATACTATTTTCATATATATCATAATTACAGTATTAATATAATTAAAAACTATTTAATTTGGAGGCTCAATTCAAGGAGCAAGTTTTGATATTAAAACCCTAAATGACCTTGTTTCATTTAGGCAGTATCTCTTCCTGCCAATATACACACAAACACATATATTTAAGGACGACTCATATACGCTCAGATATGTCTAGCTACACTGCAATGAAAAGTACATTGTAAATGGCCTTTCTCACTTTTTTTTTCTAGAAAGCAATATTAAGATTCTTATTTAGGTATATTTAAGTCTGGACCTATTGAAAACAATGTCACTCATATTAAATTAAGGCCAACTGTTTTCAGTGGAAATACACAAAGCATTATAGAGTTTGTGAGTCCAACCTGCTAGATCTATTGATGTGATGCTTTTAAAATCTTGCTTGTTGTTGTTTTTTAATTTAAAAAGAACATTCTAAATTATGATATTGCATTATAGTATGTTTGTATGTATGTATCTAAAAATCTTACTAAAATGACTATGATTAGTATTAGAGTTACTTTTTCTCTCATCTTCACTGAATTGTTATTGGAAAAAATGGGTAAGAATGGGAAGAAAAGAAGTGAATGCTGTCCCAAGCCCTTTGATTTAAGAAAAAGGGTACAGATTCAATAAATAAACATTGTATATCAGTGCAAACATACCAACTTAATACTTAAAATATCTCCTAGAATTATATTTATTAATAGCAGAAGCAGTATCCCAGTTTTTTTCCCCTTTAGTTATATAAACAAACCTTAACTTCTGCACAGAAAATGCATTTCCATTCCAGGAATGTCTGCTCTTTTTGTTGCTCTCAAAGGCCGTATGCAGCTTTACTTAGCTGGTGGAAAAATACTGTGGGTAATTTCCAGTTTAGTTGCCACCCAGCCCACTTGCAATCCCTTATATCCAGATTAGAGCAAGAAGACACACTGCTTAGTTCAGCTATCAAAAATATAACTTGGTGTTTATTTATGAAACATCAGCAAATATAAACATGATTAGATGGCAACAGGGGACAAAAGGCAGCCAAAAAGCAGAGGGAAGAGAGAGAGGGGGAGGGAGGGAGAGAGAGAAAGAAGGAGGGAGAAAAAGATGAATGAAAGGCAAGAGATAAAAAGCACAGGAAACTTAATAAACACAAACTACATTGTCTATATCCTTATAGCAAAAGGACAGAATTTTTCAGAGAGATGGGAAACAATACTGTGGGTAATTAGCATGAACTGTACTGGGAAAATAGTCTTTGGTTATTCCAGCCTTAATTCTTTTGTGTACATAAGAGCTGCACAATAGAGATGGAAAGTAGGACACGAGGTGATTCCTTCTATATTCTCCACCATGAACGGATCAATTTGGTGCATGAGAATGATCAGGGTGCCCACCCTCCAGGCAACTCTGGGCAGCCGACAGGGGTTAGAATATCATGTACAAAGAAAAATAATAAAATATAATAAAAACATTCTGTGCCAGAAACCACACACAACCCATAAATCTCCTTCTGTTGATATAAGTAACAAAATAATAGGACTGAGCTAGTGATGACTAGTATAATTTTGACTTCAGTCAGCTTTCCTCATTGTGACGGAAAAGAATAAAACTCTCTACACTAGGAAGAGATCCCACTTTCCCTACTTCATAGCTAGGAAAGAAACGAACCGTCAGATTTTCAGGAGCAGAAGCCACACTTTGCTAAAACATGTCAAATTAATCCAAGTGCATTGATCACCACTTGACATCCTCCTCCTGCCTTGGCAGTTTGCTTTATCAAACTTTTTGCACAGTATGGCTTGTGACACACAAACTTTTGATAAATATCTCTGCTGCCTGAGTAATTTTGACCACAGCTCTGTCATATGCACCCACATTTCAGCTTTCAAGGTTGATAGATGCTCATTTTCTAGGACTGATTATTACTGCTGTTTAAATTTCTCTCTTCTGCAGAAGCATTTCCTCTTCCTTTGTTTCAATACAACAACTCTGTATGGTAGGTAGGACTGAGAGAAAATAATTGGCCCAAAATCACTGAATGTGTTCGTATTTGAAGGTTGGCTAGAACCTGTGTCTCCTAGGTTTTAGTCAAAGCCCTCATCTACTACAGAGTTCTGGCTCTAGCATATACCCTGCCTTTTAGGTAAGTGATGATTAACATGTTTATCCTGTGGTTGTTCTTTTACAGTGATTCAGAGAAAGCAAACAGTTTGACTGAGACAGTACCAGCCAAGAAGAATAACAATGTGTATCTTACTCTACCGGATGCCCATGATAATGATTCTGGTAGGAGAAACAAAGCGATTAATGGATAACCTAAATCCAGGGTGAACAATCACATATAAATAAACTTCATTTTTTTAAATTAATGCATTCTTCCATACAAATGTCCTAATATATCTCCTAATATATTATGAGGAATACATTTATTTCAAGATTTTATTGTGTTACCCTACTCGTGATGGCAACACTTGTGGATAGAATCATCTGAAAATTGATCAATGTTAAGTCAATATCCTCCAATTTAACACAGTATGTTGAATTATATATCTCATAACATCAGCCAATATATGTGCTGTGTGTTGTATCAGTTGCATATGATGGCTTTATACTGCTTCCACTGCCATAGGCAATTTGCCTTGGAGTCACTTAATAAATACTCATTTCCTGAGTGTGAGATTTCTATACCTGTTTGACTGCTACTAGACTTAATTCTGGATATGGAAAATCTAATCTATCAGAATTATTTCTGTGTTCTAACAATGTTCCCAGGAATATTGTTGAAATAAAAGTATAGCCATGTCACCCAGGAATAAAGAAATTGCAATTCAGTATTATTAAAGGCCACATCTGTCTATTTTATAATGTCTCATAAATGCTGAACTAGTTAAAATGGTTGGCTGACTTGCAGACATAGCAGGAATGTGCAATTAAATTACAGAAGTGTATCCAACGGATTCTCTCTACATAATCAACCTTGAAGCTTACCTTCAAGATGTGATAATCACATCCATAAATTCAAACCCATATTCATGTAGACCAAACAACAGTTACTAAATAAACTGTTGAATAAAATCTTTTTTTTTTGATGGACCTCTGATCAAGAAATTATAAGTGTGCACATGCTCAGATATATCTGTTCGCAAAGAGGGCTGACAACAGTCTAGTGAAGATCTGAGAGGTCAACATCAACCCAAAAGTAGTACTTTAATTTCAACTGATTGTTGTTGTTTGTGAATTTGACACATCTTCAGTAAAGAGGTTAGTGGGAATAAAGAGTGTAGAGTGAAGTCCAGGGAAGCAAGGAAACTGTGCATATTATGGCTTCTACGAATAATCTCAGGGTTTCCAAGTTCCAATGCAATGATAGAAAACTTTGAGGTCCAGATTGACTCTGTATGATCTTTCATTATTCTTTAGAATGATTAAAAATGGATAAAATTATTGCAAGGCATCCTTTTCTAGGCTCTTGTGTCCAGATATTCAGTGCCATAAAGAACTCTTTAATTTTAACCCCCCTCAAGGCCATTTTCAGGAGACTGGAGCCTACAGGAGAAAGTCTGCTCTTTCCTGGAAGGCAGAGGCAAGACTGGTAGGATTTATTCTTAAGAAACAGGATGCAGTTTTATTTTACTTTTGCAGTCTTAATTTTTCCTGGTGGCTCCATCTCTCCAGTAACTGAAATTATTATTGCACAATTAAGGTAATGTTACACAGTAAGAGTATAAGAATTGCAAAGTCAGGATAGAAATCTATAAATTCTAGTAAATGCCATCTGAGCAAATGAGTCTTGGCATAGTTACAGTACTGAATGTTATATTTGAAGTATATTTGATTTCAAATCGACAACTTGCCTTTTGATCAAATGGTTTTTCAAGTCTATTTACAACAAAATAAGATGCAGAAGGAAGCCAGTTTGAAGATAGAAAAAAAGCCAGGCCTTGATGTGTTTCTTAGAAATGAGCTAGCTACTGAAAGCTGAGGGTCATAAATTCTGCAACAAGCCTGAGGGGAATTTATGTGCATTCATGAAGTGTGCTTTCATGTTGCCCTGAGTATAGCTGTACTGAGATATGATTAGGCTCTTCTTATCTAGGCCATGCGGAATGTGCTTTGCAGCAATCAGGAAGTTTAGGGAGAGACCAGATCCTTGGGGCTCCTTTTTTGTTTTCTGGGATTTCTCCATGATTGTAGGGATAAGCCACAATTTGTCCAATATTAAAGCAATATTCCTCATGTAATGGACGACTTACCACTATCTGATGATGATGGTTTATGTTTCACCTTATTTCATATTTGATAGAAGAATTTTCTCTTTTTTGCTTAGTAGGAAGGCTGTGTAAACAAGAATTTGAGCTTCAAGGGATAATTAGTAGGCTTAGATTTCAGTAGCTACTTGTTTTATGACAAAAATATATCTGTGTTTCAACAGTAGTTCAAATGAGTAGTCTAAGACTACCTAACTACAGTAAAAGAAATGGTAGTTCACAAGTATACAAAAACTAAATTCCTCTCCGAATGTGGTACAGAGCAATGCAATCTATATTCTTAAAATCATGCTATGTATGTATGTATGTATGTATGTATGTATGTATGTATGTATGTATGAATGTATGTATGTATGTATGTATGTATGTATGTATATATGTATGTATAAAATTTATTGGCCACCTATCTTACCACAGGGTAACTCTGAGTGCTTACAATCATAAAAGTTTAAAGGATGAATAGCTAGATAGCAATGGATGGATGGATGAGGGAGAGAGGAAAGCAGGCACAGGGTCAGGGGAGAGGTGGGATCTGTTATTAATCAATTAACCACCTCCATGCTGATGCTCCTCCATTGGTCTTTAGGCTCTTATTATTTAGGTCAGGAGGTTTGGGATCAACCTCACAAGACAGGCAAGATGTTCCAGAGGACAGATGCAGTGGCAGAGAAGGCCCTATTTCAGGGCCCACTAACTGGAATAAATTGGGCCAATGGGACTCACAGCATGCCTCCTTTTCTGGCATGGGTATGACAGGCCAATCCCAGTGGGATGAGACAGTCCCTTGTCAATTGGATCTATGCCATGAAGAGCTTTAAAAGAGATTATCAACACTTTGAAATGCATCTGCAAGCAGACTGGCAGCCAATGCAGCTCACGGAACATCTGTTACAAGGACCTTTTTTCAGACCCCAAGAACTATCCATGCTGCTTCACTCTGCACCAGCTTTAATTTTTGAATGCTCTTCAAGGGTAGCCCCAAGTAGAGTGCATTACAATAGTCCAACCATGAGATGATCAGGGCCTGAATGACTAAGGGCAGAGACTTCTGATCCAGAAAAGGCAGCAACTGGCACACAACACAAAATTATGCAAAGGCTCTCCTAGCAGTGATTCAAGCAGCAGGTGTGAATCCAGGAGAACCCCCAAGTTGCAGACCAGATCTGTCAAGAGTAATCCCACACTATCCAGAGTCAAAGATGAAGAAGACCTGAATCTTGGGGCCCCGTGCATCCAAAGTCATTCGGTCTTGCCAGGGTTCAATTGAACCCTGTTGTCCCCACTTCCAGGTCCCCAAGTACCAAAAGAGGGCAGCAAGAACATCACTTGGGTCATTAGGAGTAAAAAAAAATTTGGGCATCATCAGAATACTGCAGATACCTAACCCAAAGTGATAGATTATCTCACCCCATGGCTTCATGTCGATGTTAAAAAGGAGTGGAGAGAGTACCGAGCCCTGTAGCATGTCCCAAGATCTCTCACCTCCTACTAACATCAGTTGGGACCAATGTTGAGGAAAGAAGCCAAACCAGCACAAAATTGTGCTACCACCCAGTCCAGCCCATGTAGACTACCCACATATTCCAGTCCAGGCCTCGTTGGCAATGGCCTTCTAAGCTTCTGGGCATAGTTCCTTTTCTTATGTTTGGAGTCCTGAAATTCTAAAAATTGCATCTGAGACTGTTCATGCCTACAGAATATGCAATTGCTTCCTGATATATGAACTATAGTTTAAATTCTAAAGTCACAAACTCCTAGCCTTTACAATTGCAAAATTAGGATTTAATGTATGAGGAAAATATCTGCTGTATAATATACTGCAACCTCAGAATTCAATTTAATAGGTGGCAATGTTGGAATGCTTGTGAAGATTTACAAAAAAAGAAAAGAAAAGACAATTCAGAGTACACCTAGCAGCATTTTTATTTTTATTTTGGTAATGCTGCTTCATTGTTGATTTGGAAGTACACAAGGGCATAACTAATGCCCTGCAGGAGAACCGCACTCTGTTCTTGCAATGGCCAATCATCTGCACAAGGAAGTCCACTAGTTTCCCAGGAGATGGCCTTCAGACACAGTCGCACTACCATTAAGGCTAATAATGATTTCCAGGAATAAGAAACTGCTTTAGACCTTTTCATTAGCCAAATACCATCATTTGAATTACATTGTTAACCTCAAAAGCTTACTGTATAAACTGCATTTAGTTGGTCACAATAAGAAAATTGCCTCACTTTGGATTTATTTAAATGGTTCATTACATCATATTTATTTAATTAGTATTATTTTCTACATTGTAGGCTCCCAACGAGCATCTTCCATTGCAGCATCACGACTGGAACAGGCCATGTCAGAAATAACTATGCAGAGTTCTGCCTCAAAGCAAGGGCCTATTCAGCTGTGGACAACTCTTGAACAGATCTGGTTGCAGGCTGGTAAGTTGTTTTCATGTGATATTCATTCTGAGATTCTGACAATCATCTTGGCATAAATACTGCAGTCACAAAGAATCTTCCATAGATTTGCATTAGCAGGTAGGTAATGTTGGAAGAGCTGAAATCTTGCTTTACAATCTTCTGGAAGGCCACAGGAAACCATCTGATAGCTGGATAACTTCATCGTATTTTCTGGGGGGTTGACGCAGGGGGGGGCTATGAATAGAAATAGAATTATAGTGGGAAACTTCTTAGAAGAAATTCACCCGTATCTGGGGGCTTGGGAATATTTGAAGGAAGAAATGAGAGTAGTTTTTAAACTTTATAATTTGGGGGAGGAAATCACAGAAAAATCATAATTATGGAAATTCAGTCATTCTGTCGTCAAAATTTGGAAGAATCCTAGGAAGATAGAATATTGGAGATTACATACAAACTTTAGGTCATCCATCTATATTATCTTATCTGAGGTCCACATTGCCACCATCAGAAGACAAGATTGGCCTTTAATTCCACGTGTCCCTATATGTTTGGTGAAAAGTCAAACACAAAATAAGTGAATTAAACTTACAAGAGGCTTAATTCCTTTATTTATATTTATTTCATTTTTAAAAAGTAGGTGAGCCTGAAAATTGCATAGCAGAAATTTGCTGTTTTTTGAGAGCTTTGGAAATGTTGAGAATATTAAATATGCCTGTGAGTTGCCTATCTCCTGACAAAATTTATTATTATTATTGATTAAATATTTAAGCTGTCCATTTCCCCTATAAGGTGACTGTGGAGTTGCAGTTTAAGTAATAAATCCTATGAAGAAAAGCTGAATGAATTAAGTGTATCCATATATTTAATTTTTAAAATATATTTCTACATTGAATTCATATTAAAATATCGCAAAGTAATGTACACAATATGCAACTCAAAGGGAAAAATCTGTCATAACATGAACAAAAATACAATAAATCATAGAGCATATAAAAGTTGTAGCTGCACTACAATCATTTGGAGAAGAGATTATTGAATGGGAGATTAAACTTTCATCAAATACTTATAGTACTGTCATACATATAATGACAAATATTGTTCTGCGCCTATGCAGACAACGGAATTAGACCAACAGAACTAAATTTGCAGAAGAGGAGACTTCAATTGACATTAAAAGAAACTGTCCAATGTAACAATTTCTTAGAGGGTAATGAGCTATCCCTCTTCAGTCCTCTGTTTCAAATGTTCTAGTACTGAATTTCTTATACTGAGCAAAAAATTATGTTTTAGTTCTTTTCAATATATGATGTTGTGACTTTCCATTCCAGGTAGCTTTATTTATATATGCACATGTATTAGTTTACATATACTTAACGTACATACACAGATAGTACCCATAGTTTCCAAGACATTATTAGCCATCTGCAACATAAACTGTCATAATATAAAAGGTTAAATGGGAACAAATATTTACTAAATATCAGAAAACAGAAATTGTTGTATAAACATTAACAATTAGAGAGTGTAAAATATTTTGCACTTTATTTAGATTTTTTAAAATTATTGGCTGCTGTAGTAGTACCCTGTAGTGCCCTGTAGTAGCTGTTGTAAACTGCATTTTGTATGATAAGGTGGCACTTATTCTTTTGTAGGTTCTTTTTCTCCTGACTGTGATGCCTCTCTCTGCTTGCCATTGGCAGTCATCTTAACTAAACTCAAGCTTTATCAAATATGGCCATTCCACAGAAAACTTGCTGAAGTAATTGGCTAAATGTCCCAGTTCCAGACTTTACCAGGTGGATGATAATACTATGCTCCATGGCACATATGCAAAGAGATGTTAAAATAGCTAATCCTTCTCTCTCTTCATTGGCAAAACAGAGCAAATCATTTCCATCCCCCCAGCAGAAAATTAAATGTCACCTTTTAAAGAAATATTGAAATGAATGCACCACCAATGTGCAGTGCTGCTAGAAGCCAGAATAGCACAAGACAGTGAGCTAATAGAGAACATGTTTTGCTGTGTTATATATACAGTAATCTGGTAATATATTCATTTCCTTCCTGTAATACATTTTCACTGTTTTGATTGTGATAGACAGTTTCCATAGAAATCTGATTTCAAATCTGAGGAAAAATGGTTGAGGTAGAATTTCTCAACATATTTAATACTGTAAGATCAAGGACTTAAATACTTGCTTGCCTCTACAACAACATTGGTGCCATTTTTCTGGGGAAAAATCAAAGTATATTGGCCAACATTGCTTTTCTGAATTTTATGCGGATCTTCCACCTACCAAATAGTTATGTTTGTCCTTATTAGATTTTTCTGTGACTAAAGAACAAGTAAACAATTCCAGCATATCGTTTCTGTTCTACTCCAGAAGCAAGTGAAGTTCCTCACAAATGGATAAAGTAGTAGGGAGGGAGGTTTCAATTCACAAGGATCAGAGGCTACACAGATTAGAGAGTTATTTGGGAGATAAAATGTTGCTTCCAGGATTAGAGGCAATGTAATGCTGAAGGCTGCTTGCTGGACAAAAACAGTCCAAGAGAGTTATCATCCGAGCCTGTTCATCTCTAATAATTCAAAACTGAAACATCCGCTGGCTTTTATATCTTATCTTTATAAGTTGGAAACAGAAACTTCTTGATAAAACAAATCCTTTTTGCAAAAAGTTCAATCCACAGCTCTACTTTTTTCAGGTTAAAAAAGGCCTGAACTAGCAATAAGGGGAACTTTGATCCCAGATGGTTCATCTGCACTTTAAAAAGCCATTTGGTTTCTCAGGACAGAAATCCAATTGTTTCCGCCTGAGTAGTAACAAGGAGAATGATTCTTGACACTGCTTTTGAATGCATTCAGAGCTCCAGATCAGTGTTTATATAAACCAGCTCTAAGCTTCTTTCCATTGTATATCAGCGGCAAATTGATATGGTTCATCAACAATAAACTGCCAGAAGTAATACTGTTCAAAAAATAACTGCAGATCTGTTCTGCAGAGGACAGGCCATCCATGAAGCACTTGCTGTCCTTCTCAGACCCAGTGGTAAAATATCACTGAAATATTTTTTCTTTCTTTACAAAAAAACCTAGCTATCTTGAGTCCAAGACCAGTCAACATTTGGCAGACAAGGCAAAAGGGAGTCACTATGCAACGTGAAGATCTTAGGTTGTTTTCACACAACATGCTAACACATGTTTAACTGACTAATGGTTTAGTAAACCAACCTAATCTCCTGGGTTCAAAACACCATAAATCAGGCATACACAAACAATATTTACAGACCCCTCACATCCTGGACATAAACTGTTTCAACTCCTTCGATCGCGAGCCTAGAGCCAGAAAACGCGAGCCGCTGCCACCACCTCCTCCTCCCCCTCCTCCCCCCGAACGGACTGAAAGCAGCTAGGGCTGAGGAAACAGAGCCACTGCCACCACCTCCTCCTCCCCCTCCTCCTCCCGAGCGGACTGAAAGCAGCTAGGGCTGAGGAAACGAAGCCACCTCGGCTCGTGTTGTTTTCTGAGCCTAGAGCCAGGGCGCTTTCATTGCACGGCGGAGCTTCTTGTTTCAGGAAACACCGGGCATCGTTGCTGCCCCCTGAGGGAAGGGCAATTCTGGGCTGTGCGATTGGGGGACTTCGTGGCTTTGGGTGGGTGGGTGGGAGCGAGGACGGACAGAGTCCGCGAAGCGGGGCTTGCCTGCCCTTGCTGGCTGCTTCTGCTTCCTTAGGGGCGGGGAAGGGGGCTCATCTGGACCAAGGGTGAGTCTCCGCCTCAGTTTCCCCTGAAGGATCTTCCGTCGCTTTTGCCTTCTCCCTATGTCTTCACTCTGTTAAAATCCCCCCCCACACACACACACACTTATTTTCAGGCGGATAGATTTCGTGTCTGAGCATTCTCACATGACGGTGGGTCTTCCCCCCCCCCAAAAAAAACAGTTAAATAAAGAAAAAACAATATATCCTCATGCAAGAACTTTTCTGCTTCCGATTACCCCCATGCTTACAAGTTGCAAAGGAAACACGGAAGCAGGGAAGCGGCTGCTCAGCTCCGGAGCTCCACCATTTTTTTTTTTTTTCAGAGGGAATCTCACTTGAGTATAAGCCGAGGGGGGTTTTTTCAGCACAAAAAATGTGCTGAAAAACTCGGCTTATACTTGAGTCAATAAGTTTTCCCAGTTTTTTGAGGCAAAATTAGGTGCCTCGTCTTATATTTGGGTCGACTTATACTCGAGTATATACGGTATCTCTTTTTGAGATTACCTATTCCAATAGTTAACTGTTCTTGCCATCTGAAATTCTTCCTAATGTTTAACTTCCTTATAGTTTCAATACACTGTTTCTGTGTCTGGCCTCCAGGGCAACAGTCCACTCCTCCCTCCTTTTGCTCTCGTGAGGACAACCATCACATTTCCCTGTGATCTTGTCTTCCACAAGAAAAGCATACCAATTCCTGTAAGATTTGATTTCCAGTTCTCTCATCATCTCTGAACACTTTTTCATTGTTCTTCTTAGGTGCAGATAAATCCTATCCTGCTTGGTTTGGGATGTTGTACAGGTAGTCCTGGACTTATAACAATTTTTTAAGTGACTATTCAAAGTTACAGTGGCACTGAAAAAATTGACTTATGACTGTTTTTCACAGTTACGACCTTTCCAGCTTCCCCATTAGCAACTGGTTCAAATTTATAACCATTGCTGGGTCCCAAGATCATGTGTTCACTTTTTGTGACCTTCTGACAAGCAAAGTCAATGGGGAAGCCAGATTCATTTAACAACCAGGTTAACTTATCAACTGCAGTGATTGACTTAACAGCTGAGGCAAGAAAGGTCGTAAAATGGAACAAAATTCACTTAACAAATGTCTCACTTAACAACAGGAATTTTGGGCTCAATTGAGGTCATAAGTTGAGGAGTACCTGTACCTATTCTGTCTCATGTTGAGATCTTCATTAAGCCATGGAAAACCTATAACCCTTCAAAAGCCATTAGGCTATAATTCTCATCAAACTTA